AGCTAATCACCTCTTTTTGTTCAAGGAAATATTTTCACTTTTAAATCAATAAAAGTGAAAATATTTTCGCTTTTAAATCAATAAAAGTGAAAATATTTTTGCTTCCTGCTACTTCAGGAAGCAGAAGTAAATATTACATTTTGCTTTCTTATGATTTTTTTTTCCCGGTTCTGGTCTGATTTTATTCTGTTATCTTCATATTAAATGCATTATTATAGTTGTCACCATCTTTTAGGACATATTTCTCTCCTGTCTGTAGTTTATAATAATGCACTCAGGCCTATTTGTAGATTTTTCTGTGGATCATGACTCCAAATTATTTGCGTAAAATTTGTCTATTTGTGGGTTTTCCTAAAGGAAATGCAGCTTGGGAAGTGGAAAATATCTAGTAGCAGTGCTGCTTGACACACTATTGGCTGGTACTGGGGAAACAGCCAATCAAGAAACTTCCTTGCTGCTGATTGGCTGTAACCTGAAGAGTGGCGATAAGGAAGAAAGCAGATATTAGGATAGGTGGTAGTGTGTAAATGGTTTGCATTGTGTTCATTAAGGATTATTAAGATGTATTTGGTGTTTGAACTAATAAAATAGATGGTTATAATCAATTTTAAAGGGTGTCTCAAATATTTATGCATTTCAGCTATTTGTGGTTCTGGTCCGTAACCCCAACAAGTACCAGCAGAAGTCGGTAGAGTGAAAGTAGCACTCTTTCAACATATTTTTATTAAATTAAAAGTAAAAAGAAGCTGTCCAAGAAGTCACTCATGTATGTGGTAAAAAGTCTCTTCAAGTACTGAGTAACTGATCAAATTATTAATCATTTAATGTTTAAAAATTATACCACCAGATGGACCAAACATATAAGGTTAAGTGAAATATTTGGTATTCTAAGGACCAAACTGACAATAACTCATGGAAACAGCAAAAAATAAAATCAGTCAAAATAAAATGTTTCCAATTCAGTTTATTTCAATAAAATACATATGAAACTTTAATCAAAACTGCAGGTGTGTGTCCAAGTCCAGTGAATTTCTGGTTAAAACATTTTTATTTTTCATTCAGAGGGTAGAAAATTCAGGAATGTTGCTCAAGTAAGAGTAGAAATACTTCATAATAAATTTACTGAAGTAAAAGTGAAGAGAGCAGCCCAGGAAAAATTTTCTTAAAAATAAATGTAACAAGCTACTCCTCAACATTATGTTTTAAAAATAAATGAGAGAGGATTGGTAAATTATTAACTTTTTTATTTTGTTATTTTTAAATCATTTTTATTACAAAAATATGTTTTTTCACCTTGATAACTGGTATATTGTATTCTTGTTTAGTTAGCTTAATAAACTGACTGGTTTGTAGTTTAAGTTAATCAGAAACAGGATTTTAGCCCAGATCAGGGAACCACCTTATTGTCATACCTGTTCATCTGTGTCACTTCCACAGTTTGGCAAATGATTGGCCAGCCTTAGATGCTGACGAAGATTTTTTCTGGGTTAAAACATACAGCTCACATCAGCAGTTCCTGTTAACTATTAAAACTACCAGACAGTATTAACAGTACATCAGTATTTCATACTGAGTATCTTCAACAAAACTAGTAAACACACTTTGTTTCTGGAAGGTTAGATTCACTAATCCTGGAGATGAATGTTTGTATTTGAGTTTTTTTCTGGGCGGTGTGCTGAGCACAAAGTATTCATACTATATACAGATTTAGGTTGTAATATTTTAGATTTTACCAATGAGTTTCTTCAGACTGTAAGTAAAATTAACTTGCCTGCTTATTAAAAATTAAAATATCCAGGACAGAAATTATAGGAATGATTTTATTGCTGAAATAGCAGTACAGATTTCTCCTTTTGTTATGCAAATATTAATAAAAAAAAGTAATCAATAGATCAGACCTACACTGTGTTGACATTAAGTCAAGCAGAAAGGTTTGCAAATGCATCCTTTGCTACAAATCCAATAAAGAAATGCAGTTTTTGTTGTTGCATTTTAGGCAATAAAATGTTTTCTTATTTAAAAAAATGTATTTACTTATTTGCATTTCCCTATGTATTTCTAATATTGAATAAAAAATTTGATCTGATTACTCGATCATCAGAATAATTGATAGATTATTATAATATAAAATATTATTTTGCACAGCCTAACATTGGTATTTAAATGGACAAACAATGATAATGTCTGATTAAGTTTAGCTGCAGCATAATATGACTGCATTACTGGTGTAAAACTAGCATTTTAAACTTTTCTGTCAGGATTATTATTTTTACATAACAAACAGAAGAAAGGTCAAGTCTTGGCAGCAGTGGACGATCTTTAATAGACCGGTAACGACGACAGCGCTCTTTAAGAAACACTTAGCAGCTGCTTAAGTTCAACACTTAGGAGTGTTTTTGCTACAGTTTCACCTTTTGTTCCCAAAGTCTGTAAAATGACAAGCAGCAAATTGAGAACTGTTCATCTTTAACAGTTCAACTTACAGTATTGGTCTGCAGTTAAAGATGCTGCAGAAGAAATTACTTGGTTTGTAGTGGTGTGATTAAATCATAAAGTCCAGAACCTATGTAATATTTCTGCTGCCTTGTTCCTGTTTTGTCTGATTTAAGGAGGCGGATTAACAGGAGTTGTTGGTGCGTAAGAAACGGGTTTCTTGAGATTGAAGTCGACATGGTTTAAGTGCAGAGTAAATTTCAGAGGGAGGTGCGTCGTTCGTCTCGTCTTACCTGTCTTCACAGGAAGAAAGAGTGATCCCTGACTGTGTGTGGGTGGAGATCTAAAGGAGAGAGTCGCTTTGATTGCAACATTACTGCTTGAAAAACGTCAATTTAAAAAAAATTTTTTTTTGCACCTACCTACATTAAGGAGAAGTATATTTTATTAAAGCTTAAGTTCAGGGATTCAACTCTCTCTTTGGAGAAATGTGACTTGCAGTTATTTAATCTGTAAAGTGTATTTTAAATTAATATGGAACCCAGATTTGGATTGTCGTCTTTCCTTCCTCATCAGAAGATATGAAATTAAATTCTGTTTCTATGCTGTCATAGCAATTTTCATCCACAACAATTGTCTTCATTGCTTTTTAACAGTAATATTGCCATTGGAAGGCTTTATAATGAGGCTTTGCTGAAACCAGTAAAACAGGGAGAACTTACAGGTGATTTGCCTTTGTTGACGTAGGTAAATGATTGTGTTATCATTTGCCTAAATGTGTCAGCAAATTTTTTGTTTACTTCCTCCTCTGCTTTAATTCACTTTTTATTGCACGTACAGGAGAGAAGCTGTGTGCATGTCTGGTTTGTTTGCATGTAGGCCCTTAAAATAAATTTTTATTGGCTAAAATGCAATAACACAGCATTGCTTCAGTGTATGCTGACCAGGTGAAGCTAAATAATCCCACTGAGTTCTGAGTACAACATATTTATGAACATAAATGCAAAATGTAAATCTTCTTTATATAGTTTTGACTTAATTTCTGCTCTTTATATGTTGTTCTTTTAGCAATTGACATTTTTTAAAGTCTGTATACTCCAGTTAATGATTAATCGATTACTAATATTACTAATTTAGTTGAAAATAATAATTTAAAAAATTGATTAATCGCCCTTAATCCGATTAATCGTTTTAGCCCTTACTTTTCTGTGTGGCCATTTGTTTAAACCTACCTTAAATTTGAATTGATATAAAATGGAAATACTTGAGTATGGATGAGTATGATAATGATTAATAGATTACTAAATTAGTTGACGATTATTTCAACAATCGGTTAATCACAATTCATTATGATTAATGCGATTAATCGCTTCAGCCCTACCTCTTGTGTGTGGTTTGTTTACATCATTTAGGTTTTTCCCTTAAGGTTTAGTTGATATAAAATGGAAATACTGAAGAGTAAATTGTTTTGGAATAGATTAAAGAGCAGCAATGGTTTCTTACAACCAAAATCTGACTTTTTGTAAAACCAAATATTTAGGGAGTTTCTTCAGGGTCATATTTAAACATATTTCAGTGTGTTGTTTTTTCTTTTTGCATGTGTTCAGTACCGGGGTTACATGCCGAACAGATTGCAACGAATCTCCCTCTGATTTGCCCTTCTGCCATGCGGTTCGCAGGGTGTTTGCTCCGTGCCACAGGTCGTGGGAGGTGCAGTAGCTGTTCTTGTGAGTCAAGTGTTAGAGCAGAGGCTTTCTCTGCAACGTGTGACATGAAGCGGCCGAGCAGGAGAAGGAGTTTAATGCAGCCTTGGTACGAGCGTAGGCGTCTCTTTGGTAATACTGTGGCCTAAGTGGAGACAAGTAGGGGGATGAGGCTTCTACACCCTCTCCTTTTATATCTCTCCCTTTTTTTAGTTTCTCTATCAGCAGTGGCCTCCCTCTGTTTTTAATCCTATTCTTTATAGTCTGGTAGCCCAAGGCAACGGACAAGGCCATGCTAGCTAATGTGTGCATGAGCAGCGCCTGTTGGTACACAAGCAACGCAAGCCTTGCTGACGAGGCCTGAGTGGATCACACTGTTTGTTCATTCTACCATGAAATCAGAAAATAACTCTTACTCTTTGTGTGTTTTCCTCAGAAATCAGCTCTTCAGTAAATCCAGTTTGGCTCGGATTTTCCCATAGTTGGTTGAAAAAGCAACAAAACATGTAGAACTTGATTCTCCAGATGAGTTAGCTCAGGATAAATGATTTACACCTCCTCAACGCTTTCGTCCTGGGGTTTCAGTGTCTGTGTTTGAAGTTTCTGTATCGTGTGCGCACTGATCAAATTTCTCTCGTCTCACCACCTTGGGAGGATATTTCAGTTACAAAGGTGTGAAGCCAGATTTTCACATTCCTTGCACAGAAGGGAAGGATGTTTCCCTCATTGACGATGGTGTTGGAGGATTGAAGACCACATAAATACTAATAACTTTGCAGTAATAGAAGCACAATCCTCTTTTTGGTTGGGATAAACTGTTATATATTGGTTAAATCATGTAATCTACACCTTGCATCTTCACAGATCCTGTTCTGTACCCTCAACACCCACAAGATTGACATGGAGAAGCTGCTGGGGGGGCAGATCGGCCTGGAGGATTTCATCTTTGCCCACATTAAAGGGATCAAAAAGGAGGTGGAAGTGTATAAATCTGAAGACGCCCTTGGCCTCACCATAACCGACAATGGAGCAGGCTATGCCTTTATAAAAGTAAGAAGAAAACCTTTTTTTTGCAAACGAGACGTTGGAGACATGTGAAAGCACCAACTGTGATGCAGTTACAGCAAACGTCTAGTAATGCTGTGAGCACAGCTTTTTAAATTTTTTTGTTTTTACAGTTGTATAATTGAGCACAGTGTCAGTTATTATGCAAAATTCACATTCTGGATGTTTTTCTACTTCCATTTGGGTTTCAGCTGCTTCTAAAAACAACCTAAGCACTTAAAAAAAAAAAACACCTGTCCATTTTTTGGCAACAAGTTAAATTTTTATGGTGTCTGGAAAATGAGCTGTTTTGAAAACCTCCGGATTGTTTTGCATATCTGATGTGGACTGCGCCGTTACCTAGCAACCCAAACTGAGTTCCAGAATATTTGGTCAGCTGTTTTTTCACTGTATGTGCTGTACAATGGCTGCTGGAAAAGACAAGTGTTTTTGTTGTGCTGTGTTCTTGTTGGTTGTGCGGGACGCTCCAGTTCTGCTTTTCAAAGATGTACGGTTGTATAATTGAGCATCTGTTTGCAGCCATTTTTACCTGTGAGTTTAGAGGCGTGGCCAGTAGCAGCTTATTAGGATTTAAAGTGACAAGATGCCCTAAAACAGCTCAAAATAGACATCAATATTTAAGAATTATATTGTTGCAAAAAATTTATTTGCAATTTGTTTTGTATTGCTCACAGACCTATCCTGACCTGTTCAGGGAAGCATAATAGGTCACTTTTAGGGAAAAAAATGGTATTGACCAAAACCGGAATGGGTATGTAAGGTTTTGTTTTTAAAATTGGTGACCGGCCAGAAAACTGCAATCAGTGCAGCATTAATCTGATGTATCTATTCTTTGTCAATATTATTTAGTCATTTATAAGACCGATTAAACCCCACTGACTTGTTAACATGTTCCCTACTGTAGAGTGTTTTCATTGTAACCTTGTAGAGCTTCACCATGGTGCATTCACGGACTGAGTGAAGATTGGATTTTTAATTGCCGACAGGTTGGTCAAAGGTCAGAGCTAAAAACCTGCAGATTGGGTTCACCAACCGATTTTTGCATCCATATTTATTATCCTGTTACACAAGTCATTATGCTGGTACCTTTATCATATTATTGATTCCAAACACTGACTGGTAAGCTATCACAATCTAACATTAAATAGGGTTTTTATAGTAACATGACAATTACGTCACAGGCACACATACATGCTGCATATTTGTCATTTTAAAAATGGTAAAATAAGAAAAAATGACAGTTTGAATGTATTTTTTCTGATAGCTTTAAACTTAATTCAGCTTTAATATTAAAAAGCTTCTTCCTGCCTGTCCTAAAACAAACATAAAACAGCAGAATCTCAGGACATTACAGTGTACTTTAAGTATTTTAGATAACGATACCTTCATCCGGTCCTCTCTATTCTGATATGACCTGAGTGCATTTCTTAAAAATGCAATCATGAAACACAGCTAAAATCTCAAGCTCTTATCTGGTTTAGTAATACAGGCCTGATATCTCTGGTCTCGACCAACTCGTTTCTTTCTTCTGGTAGCTTTTCAAACCTTTATGTGTTGTGAGTCATGATGCATTGTGATGTGTCACCTTGTGTAATGGTTTTATCCGAGGGATCAATCTGCTCACATGCGACATCATGTGCTGCTGCTGCTGCTCTGCAGCTCCACAGCCTGACAGGGACGACTGCAGGGCACAGACGTAGAGTTGTAACATGAGAAATATTAATAACTTGTTCTTTGAATATAATCTAGCAAGGCTGTCTGTATTTTTACAATATCTATTTACTAAATTGCAGAAAAAGCTATTTTGTTAACAGGTTTTATTTAGGGAAATGTTTGAATTTGTGTAGAAAATTATATAAGAGAGCACAGTTTGCAACCTGAAGACAAAAACAATATGCTGGGCTTGCATTTATTTATTACATTTACATTTAAAACATTGCTTAGTTTGTTATTTTATGCATGAAGTTTAATACCCAACAGCTTTCTTTCTGCACATTTAATACCCAACATCTTTCTGGCACTTGTAGAAACTTTCAGCCTTTGCCTAAACCTGCTTATCTTTGCAGAATCTTTGGGAGTCTTTTCGTTTGTTCATTCTTTCTTCCTTTCATTCTTTTTTTTCTTACTTTTGTGCTGTTGCATTTTTTTAGTTCTTCATTTCTACTGTTTGTTCCTTTTTTCTTCTTCAGTTTCTACGTTCTTCCTTGTGTCTCTTTTAATTTTTTCTTTTGTCCTTTTATTTTGTTTCATTCTTTCTTTACTTTCTTATGTCCTTTCTTTTATTTCTTTTTCATTTTTCTTTTTGTGTTCCATAAGTACTTTCTTTCCTTCTTTCTTCCTTCTGTCGTATCTTATTTTTCCTTTCATCCTTTTTTAGTCCTTTTGTTTTTCTCAATTTTTTTCTGTCGTTCTTTTTTTCTTTCATTTGTCCCTTTTGTTTTCTTTTTTTTTACTTTTGTCCTTTCTTTCATTCCTTCTTTCTTTCATTTTTTCTTTGATTTATTTCTTTTCCTTGCCTTTCTTCATTTTTGTTCTTTCTTTTGTTCCTTTTTTCTTGTCCATTTTTTCTTTTGTTCGTTCTTCCTATCACCCTTTTCCTGTCGTTCTTATTTTAATCTTTTCTTTCTTTTGAGGATTAGAACCACTGAACAATCCTCTTTCATATAAAACTCTGCATTCAGCTTCAACGTTTTTCTTCTTTTAATCTTAGCTGCATATTTAAGAGCCAAAACCTCATTTTGCTGATTCATCTCTCGCCTGTGATGTTCCAGTCTGCAGGTCATCATTTGTTAGTAAAAGCAGCATTCCTCTAGCCTCTAATTTATTTCTGTTTTATCTATTCCTCTGAAAACTGAACATGACCTAAAATTCCTCACTTCAACCTTTTAGTTCATTAATCTCAGTTTTCCTGATAAGAGTGAAATTTATTACCTCTGCTTTCTGGAAATTACAACTTCTTCACTTGTGTATGAAAGTCATCTAAACAGATCCAGTTAAAAAATGAAGGAATTCAGAACTGTTTAGATTCCCTTTGGAAAGCTTATAATAAAAACTCATTTCTACTTTGCTGTTTCAAACTAATTTCACATTTATTTTACACAAACATCTCGTGCATCAAGGAAAGCCTCACCTCCAAACATACTTCTTTTTTTAATTTGTTGGTCAGCAGGTTTTAGTTTATGATGGGCCTGAATCTTGGAGGTTCCTGGTTGTTTCTGGCCATCCTAACCAGTTTCCTTTCTAGCTGAACAGTTGGGTCAAATGTTTGAAAGTTGGATTCATTTTGGTGTTTAAGTTGGACTCTGATCCCAAGAAAACAACATTTTTAATGGATAGCTGGCTGTTGGCACCGCTAGCTAAAAATGTAGTTGTGCTAACACTAAAGCACTAATCATGAACATTAGTTTCACTAATGCTAAAGTGCTACACCAGCGTTGTATTAAGCTAAAGTTAAAGTGCTAACTTCAACCAGACATGTTGCAACACAGTATGTCGCCCTCACCAGGGTCAAAGTTGTTACTACACTTTAACCCTACCCTAACCTAACTTACCTGTAAGGTTGCACTTCAGGAAGTGATTCTTTGTAACAAACCTTTCACTCATGTTTTTAGTTTTATAGTTGTTGAATTTTGCTAATTCAGGACATCAGTAGATTTTAAACTGTTTACTGTGTAAAAATTGCAACCTCTACAGAGTTGCATTGTGGGTGCAGAATGTTGTTTGCTGCACTGGTGGAGAATGCACTGGAAAAATACAAAATCCTACCAAGTAATGTTGGTCTAGTTTCTAGTGTAAATATCTTAGTGCATTTGAAATAAGACAAAACTAACTTATTTTTAAGCAAAATATAAGAACTTGCTTTAAATCAATAATTTCTTAATATTGGTAAAAAGATATCAATTCCACTGAAAGATTATTGAACATGTAAGAAGATATTTTTCCCATAAGTGAAATAACCTGCCAGTGATACTACCACTTTTTCATCAATATTAAGGAATTATTGACTCTAAAAAAAAAAAAAAAACTAGAAAATATTACTTAAAAGTTACTCGTAAGTTAGGTTTCTTATTTCAAGTTTACTAAGATATGTGAACTAGAAACTAGACCAAAGTACTTGGTAAGATTTTGCCTCTTTTCAGTGTGAGGATAGGAAATGGAACTTCAAAATAAGAGCATCTAACTGAACGGTGGATGACCAAAACTTCAACATAGATGTTGAACTTTAGTCAACTGAAAGTTTGCAAACCAGCTAAGTAAATTAGCACTTTAGAATTTATCAGGGAAATTAATTTAGGGGAAGCTAAGTGCGATAAACATTTTCAGTTGGTGAAAAAAGGCAAAAGCACTAAATGAAAAATTAGCTAAGCTATTAGACGTGTGTGCACCATTGGAAGATGCTAATGTTACATTTTAACATGTTTGAGAATGTGTGGAGTGTTGTAAAAAACTGAGTCCAGAAAACAAGAAGATTTTAAAGAGCTTCACTATGATATCCAGCGCAGTTTACCGTATGCTAGAAAGTCTAACAAAACGTTTCTCTGCAACTTCCTGTGAACATTTATCCAAATGTAGATGAGAATGTAAATAGTTGAGCCTTTTTGCATTGCAGAAAAAAGCTAAAGTTTTACAATGTAAAATTGTTTTTAGTATCTTGTAGTCACATTCAATGCTAATCTGCCCTTCCTCTGCCTGCATGGCAGCGAATTCGAGAGGGCAGCGTCGCAGACGAGGTGAAGGTGATCTGCGTGGGCGACCACATAGAGTGCATCAACGGACGCAACATCGTCGGGACGCGGCACTACGAGGTCGCCCGCATGCTCAAAGACCTTCCCAAAAACACGACCTTCACCATCAAACTGATCGAGCCCATGAAGGCTTTTGGTGAGTTTGAAACGGACATGTCCAAGATGAAAGATACAGTTTTCATTTTAAAATGACCTTCTGTTACTCTTTGAAGTTTTAAGCATCATTTTCATAGATTGGATCTAACGATTATTCCATTGAATTGATGATTAATTGATTAATTGTATAGGAAAAAATTAAGCTTTTGTCACATTAAAAGATGCAAAATTGATTCAATTCAATTCGTTTTTTAAAACAAAAATATTATATTATATTATTGCCTAAAATGCAACATTAATTATTAATAATAATAATTTGGAAAGGCTTTATTGCCTCTCCAAATATGCAGTTTTTTCAGGAAATTGCCTATTCTTGAGTTTGCGATTAATCGATTACTAAATTAGTTGACATTTATTTCAATAATCGATTAATCATTTCCACCCTAATCATTGTAGTTCTACTATAGATTTGATCTGCAGATTGTTGTGGGTATTTATTGATTGATTGGACTGTTGTGATGTCACAGAATAATTGACTGATCATTTGAACTTTTCTTTAATTTCTCAAGCAAAATTGCTATTTTAGTGAGAACCACAATGATTAGAAACCAAACTGTAAACACCCTGCGAAGCCAAATATACGTTTTATGTTTATCATATGAAGGATTCATTAAAAGTATAACAAGATTTTATCCTTGGAGTAACATATTTTAGATGTAAATGCCAGATAATTTCTTTTTAGTCAGCAGCGTTCATTGTTGCACAGCAGTTATAAATAAAAAGTGACCAGGTGTTTGGCATTTAATGACTCACATCTTAGTCACAGACTAAGAAAGAAGTTTACATAAAACAGTTTTTTTTTCCTTAACGCTTTTCCTCTTTGACAGAGATGCTTGAGCCCAGGTCAAAGGGCAGCAAGCCGGGCAACGACAATAAGATCGGCACGGGGAGGAGCACGCTGAGACTTCGCTCCAAAGGTCCGGCCACAGTGGAGGACGAGGTATTTCATCCTTATTTTGTCCTTATATAACCAGCCACACAGTGATTAGATGATTCACTGCGATTTTAAAGGCTGCTCTGAATATTTATGCCTGAAGTTTCCTCCGTCGGCGGGTGACGGCTGAGCTCTGGTGTGAATGTCTGAATGAATTATTCCACCTTGGATTTGACGTTCTGACGTCAGGTTGTGTTATTGATGCTTTCTAAACTGTGTGGTTTTTATGTCAACTAGATCAGAGTTGGTTAGTAACTAGTTACATTTACTCAATTACATTTACTTGAGTAACTTTTTTTATATAAAAAATTTACTTTTAGAAGTATTTTACTACTTTAGCAAAAATATTCAGATTTCTCAAACATTTTCCCATTTTGTCAACTAAAACTTGTTTCTTTTGTGTTTTTTTTATATTAAAAAAAGTTAATGTTGCATCTGTATTAAGCCACTTTTAATCTCATACCTGATAATAAAGATTTGTATTTATTGGTGTAATTTAGTTTCAGACATAGTTGGGTAGTAATTACATTTACATGAGTAACTTTATTTCTTTTTTTTTAATATACTTCTAGGAGTGTTTTTATTGCATTGTATTTTTTTACTTGTACTTGAGTAATTTTATTATGAGGTATCGCTACTCTTAAGTCTTATTTGACTAAGATTTTTGGATTTTCTCCCCACTGAATGATGAGACACAGTTTTAACCAAAATTCAGTTTCCTAAGTTTTTTATTAAAACAAACTGATTTGGAAAGATTTTCTTTTGCCTGATTTTGTTATTTATATGAATTATTGTCCCTTTTGCTCTTAAAATGCAAAACAATTCCACTCAACTTTGTAATTTGGTCCATCTGATTATGTAATTTTTAAATATTAAATGATTGATCATTTGATCATTTACTCAGTACTTGAGTAAACTTTATACCAAGTACTGTTTTACTTCTGAGTAAAAATATGTCATAGTATCACTACTGTAACTTGAGTATATTTTTTGTGTTCTCTACTCGCCTCTGAACTAGATGCAGCTGTTTGTTGAGACAGAAATCACCTTCATTGTTCTTTAGCGAGGGAATTCAGGTGTATCAGCAGCAAAATGATGGGCAAAATATTTAAACAGAAAATGGAAATAAGCGGCTGTTGGAAAAAATGTCTGAATAAATTAGAAAGTGGTGATATTTCACTGAATCAAAACTGTGATCTTTGCTTCAGATTTTGATTTTTAGCTACTTCCGTTCACTTTGGTTTTGTTTCACAATGTTTTATGGAACAACAGCTCTGAAAGAATGGCAACACTGTTACTGTAGTGCAGTTAATATCATGTTATATCTAAATTTGTCTTCTACTCCTTTTATATCCTGTTAAAATAAATTTATATTTTATTGAAGCAGCATAATCACACTCTGAAAATTAGAGCAAAATCCATTATGTCGTTCAGCTTTTAAATATTTAGTGTGA